AGTGTCACAGCCATCCGCCCCCTTTCCACCAACCCCCACCAGGATTGCCACCTCTTGGCAATCTGTACCCCCTTAAGATTGCCACCTGTTGGCAATCTGTACCCCCTAAGATTGCCACCTGCTGACAATCTAGATCCCCTGTGATTGCCACCTGTTGGCAATCTGTACCCACTTAAGATTGCCACCTGTTGGCAATCTGTACCCCCTAAGATTGCCACCTGCTGACAATCTAGATCCCCTGTGATTGCCACCTGTTGGCAATCTGTACCCCGCTACGATTGCCGCCTTCTGACAATCTAGACCCCCTAAGATTGCAACCTGTCGGCAATCCATTAGGCCTGGCAAGTGGCAGCTAAGCACCAAAAACGCAGGTGTGATTGCCACCTGTTGGCAATCTAGCCCCCCCCCCCCACCAGGATTGCCACCTTCTGACAATCTACACCCCTTAGGATTGCCACCTGCCGGCAATTTATGAGGCCTGGCAAGTGGCAGCCAAACACCGAAAACGCCGAACCCGAACCGTACACACAATGCGCTTTTGGACCCTCCGCTCGCCCACTAAGGGGACATGCTAACTGTCTTTTGGAAGCTAGTAATGGCGTTGAACTACAGCGACTGCTGTACGCGCCAGTTCACTAGCGAAGCGGCCTCCAAATACCTACAAAGAGCCGAGGTGCCTTCCTTGAGCATTCCAAAAGTAGGCCACGGTCATACTTTTGGGATGTGTGCCACGGACGCGCTTTGCGCGAGGATCGGTTTGTTTTCCTCAGTGCCAAGGGCCAAGGGGGCTTCCCATTGAGCCTGTAAACGGGAACGCGTGTACTCGCTCGCGGGTGCGCGTTACTACCGGGGATCCGATCTATCTCCAATCGGTGAACACATATGGGCGAAGGATGTTTCAATCCGACCAGAAACATCGGGGAAGCAGGGAGCGTGTGCTGCGGGACATTCTCTTATAAGGCGCCTAAAATAAGGCCATCCCAGTACTAAGTAAGCTGGGGGGTGCCTTCGAAGACCTTCACACTCTCATACTTCCCACGCATGCATTCACTGAACATGTCCAAGCCAAGGACTGATTTTTGGTGCAAGCGACTCGGCTGCAACTAAACATGTCCGTGCTCGTGTTCGTTAGTCTTGTGTTTGTATTCCTTCTTTGCCGATGCCAAGGTACAACCAACGAGGCCGGCAACGGAAGACGGCCACCAAGCTGCAGCTACACGTTGTCGTGCTCAACATCCTTAAAACAAGAAGTCAAGAACCAGTGCAGAAAAAAAGCCCCATTTTGTTAGTCCTAGTTGTCGTTCTCAACATCCTTAAAACAAGAAGCCAAGAACCAGAGCAGAAAAAAACACACCCCATTTTGTTAACCCTGGTTGTCTTGCTCAACATCCTTAAAACAAGAAGTCAAGAACCAGTGCAGAAAAAAAGCCCCATTTTGTTAGTCCTAGTTGTCGTGCTCAACATCCTTAAAACAAGAAGCCAAGAACCAGAGCAGAAAAAAAACACACCCCATTTTGTTAACCCTGGTTGTCGTGCTCAACATCCTTAAACCAAGAAGCCAAGAACCAGTGCAGAAAAAAAGCCCCATTTTGTTAGTCCTAGTTGTCGTGCCACCTGCTGACAATCTGGTCCCATCGGGATTGCCACCTACCGACAATCCAAGGAAGCATAGGGCCAAAGTGAAGTGTGACAGCCATCCGCCCCCTTTCCACCAAGCTCCACCCAGATTGCCACCAGCTGACAATCTGAAGCCCTGAAGATTGCCACCTGCTAACAATCCAAAGGGCAACCGGCCAGCAAGGGAGTGTGACAGCCATCCGCCCCCTTTCCACCAACCCCCACCAGGATTGCCACCTCTTGGCAATCCGTGCCCCCTTAAGATTGCCACCTGTTGGCAATCTGTACCCCCTAAGATTGCCACCTGCTGACAATCTAGATCCCCTGTGATTGCCACCTGTTGGCAATCTTTACCCCCTTAAGATTGCCACCTGTTGGCAATCTGTACCCCCTAAGATTGCCACCTGCTGACAATCTAGATCCCCTGTGATTGCCACCTGTTGGCAATCTGTACCCCCCTACGATTGCCGCCTTCTGACAATCTAGACCCCCTAAGATTGCCACCCCTTTGGGGCCTGGAGATTGTCACTCGGGGCCTGGCGATTGTCACTTTGGGGCCTGGAGATTGGCACCTGGGGCCTGGCGATTGTCACTTTGGGGCCTGGAGATTGTCACTCGGGGCCTGGCGATTGTCACTTTGGGGCCTGGAGATTGTCACCTGGGGCCTGGCGATTGTCACTTTGGGGCCTGGAGATTGTCACTTTGGGGCCTGGAGATTGTCACTTTGGCGTTGTGGGTGGCCTGGTTGCAAGTTTTTGCAGGTTTTGAGAGGTTTTTAAATGCTCAGAGTGGTTTTAAAACGTTCTAAGTGGCTTCCGAAGTTATTTCAAAGGGCTTTAAGCAGTCTTGAAGCCGGGCAAAATTGACACCCACCGTCAATCTACGACCGCCCGGGGACCAGGATTTCCCCGACCCGCGCGCGTACACACAATGCGCTTTTGGACCCTCCGCTCGCACCCCAAGGGGGGCATGCTAACTGTCTTTTGGAAGCTAGTAATGGCGTTGAACTACAGCGACTGCTGTACGCGCCAGTTCACTAGCGAAGCGGCCTCCAAATACCTAAAAAGAGCCGAGGTGCCTTCCTTGAGCATTCCAAAAGTAGGCCACGGTCATACTTTTGGGATGTGTGCCACGGACGCGCTTTGCGCGGGGATCGGTTTGTTTTCCTCAGTGCCAAGGGCCAAGGGGGCTTCCCATTGAGCCTGTCAACGGGAACGCGTGTACTCGCTCGCGGGTGCGCGTTACTACCGGGGATCCGATCTATCTCCAATCGGTGAACACATATGGACGAAGGATGTTTCAATCCGACCAGAAACATCGGGGAAGCAGGGAGCGTGTGCTGCGGGACATTCTCTTATAAGGCACCTAAAATAAGGCCATCCCAGTCCTAAGTACGCTGGGGGGTGCCTTCGAAGACCTTCACACTCTCATACTTCCCACGCATGCATTCACTGAACATGTCCAAGCCAAGGACTGATTTTTGGTGCAAGGGACTCGGCTGCAATTAAACACGTGCATGTCCACATCTGTCCATGCTAGGCTTCCAATGTGCTAGCAATCATCTGATCTGGACGCCAAGGTACGGCCAACAAGGCCGAAACGGGCAGCAGCCGCCAGGCTGCAATCACATGCGTGCACGCTCCCACTGTCAAAACACTGTCTCGCGCAACACCCCTGCTATTCTTCCTGAACTCGTCAGCTTCCAGTGTCAGGTTTCTCTGCCGCAACGCAAACACTCGCCGTAGAGCAAATTTGGACTCTAGCTTTGGCACCATGAGCAGCACAGACAGCAGGAGCTCTGCCAGCAGCAGGTTAATTAGGTCACCGTAACCCATGACGCAAGCACAAACACACCAAGGCTAGCCGCCACACTAGCACTCTCCCACTGCATACTCAACCCCCCGCACAGTTTCGTGCCGGGATGGCGTGCATCTAGAATCTAGACGCAAACCTCGAGTCCGCACAAGCCTTTCAGTGAGTTTTGAAGGGTTAGTCTGGCAGAATTGCTTCGCTTATTGGGGCGTTAGGAAGGAAAACCTCTTGCAGAATTGTTTCGCTTATTGGGGGGTTAGGAGGGAAAACCTCTTGCAGAATTGTTTCGCTTATTGGGGCGCTAGTAAAGAAAATCTCTGGCAGAATTGTTTCGCTTATTGGGGCGTTAGGAACCAAATTCTCTGGCAGAATTGTTTCGCTTATTGGGGCTTCAGGAATGAAAACCTCTTGCAGAATTGTTTCGCTTATTGGGGCGTTATACGAAAAAACCTCTTGCAGAATTGTTTCGCTTATTGGGGCGTTAGAAGGAAAACCTCTTGGGCCATCCCAGGCTAAGTATGCTGGGGGGTGCCTTCAAAGACCTTCACACTTCATCATACCATCATATTTTCACACACACGCTTTCATTCAGCACGTCCCAGCCAAGGTATGCCACCTTGGAATGCAACTTGGCTGCAATCAGACACGTACATGTCCACGTCAGCTTGGCATCCCGCCCTTTTTGTGCCGCTGCCGAGGCACTACCAGAGGGACGGCAATGAGAAACGGCCACTAAGCTGCAATTGCACGCATGCAAGCTCGCAGTTTCCCTTCCATGTCGTACGTCAGGTCCGCTCCAAACCAAGCTGCCAGCCAAGACCTAAGGAAGATACATCCGCGATGAGAGCCCCTGCAGATGCAAGATGAGCCTCCTATATCACTGGTAAGGGGTGCCTTCAAAGACCTTCACGCTTCATCATACCATCATACTTTCCCGCACATGCATTGATTCATCACGTCACAGCCAAGGTATACCACCTTGGAATGCAATTTGGCTGCAATCAGACTTCATGTACATGTCCGCAGCCAAGGTACAGCTTTGGTCGCATCTTGACAGCAACTAGACAAGGCCATATTTGCTTTATTTTTACGTTGATTCCCTTCCAATGCCAAGGTACAACTACGCGAGGACCTCCGGAGTCCAGTTGAAAAGCCCGCCCACCACCTGACAATCTGTATCCTCGTCCATTTTACGAAGGAAATCGGCTTGGAGAGCTTGCGAATCACTTGACAATCCTCACCACCGTCCAGTTTATGAAGCAGGTGGTGAGAGCCGCAGCCAAAATCAGTTTCACAGAATGGCTACGGCTACATCGGAGCACCGCGCCTTGCAGCCACAGCAGCAGAAGCGAAAAAAAAAAATCGGCTGCAAGCAGCAAGCCAACGACGCTGACATCGTGCCTGCAGCGAGAGCACACCAACCTTAACCTGGCACCGCAGCCCAATTCGTGATCGAGCCTCAAAAGCAGAGATCCGCTTCCTGAAGAACCATCTAGGCCGAAGCTGCTTCCGACAGTAAGAGAGAAAGAGCAGGCACGGTTCGCTCCCCCGCCCGTGCAGGTGAAGCCATCATGCAGCCCGAAAGCAGCCGACGGTGGGCCGACATGACAGACGACGACGATCAGGCGGGATCGCATGCGACACGCGCAGACGGCCCGACCCCGCCTGAAACCTCAACGGCCTCAGCGCACCGAACCACGAGGCGACCGGCTGGGAGTTCGAAGCGTTCAAGAAGGACTACCTGGCGAGGAGATGCAGCCTGACACTTCTGACGCCCGTGCATGCCCCAGAGCCTCCGAAGAGAGAACCCGTGTATACACGCATGTATGTCGCGCAACTGCGCACCGAACCCACCGGCCGAGGGCGGAACAATCAAGATCGACGAGGCGCGCTGACCCCTCGTGCCGTCGCCCTCAGAAATCCCAGGAGAGCACACGGGCATGCACGCACGAGGCCTGGAAAACCTCCCCGACAACCGCACCTCGACGGGACACGACCCCGCCCTCCGGCGCGAAGCCAAGAACACCCCGACGGAAGAAGGCATCACGGCCGGAATGCAAGTAAGGACTTGTGCCACGAGAAAAGACAAAGAAAAAAGAAAGCAAGCCGTACGCGGCATCGTGACCTGCAGGCCCCCAAAAAGCCACTGCCGCGCCAGCCACGATGGACGGCCGACGACGAGAGAGCCCTGGATCGAGCTTTCCAGCGAGCAGAGGCACCGGAGAGAAGCTACACCCCAAAGGCGCACAACACCTCCCGGCAAGCGGCTAGTCCCACTGTGTGCACAGGCCGACAGAGCCGCCGAGGCAACACCGCCAAGAAACGAAGCCGGGGAAGCGGCAAAGCTCGCAAGGAATGCCGCTGAACCATCTCACGAAGAACCGGCCGCGCGACGAGGGGGGGCCGAGACGGACTCCGACCACGACACGGAGCCCGGACCCAGCGTCGAGGCCGGCGTTTTCCCTCGAGCATCCACTGTCAAGAGCGCTCTTTAGGCAAGCAGACAATGCACCCGAGAGGAGCACTTTCGGGGCATGCTGGCCATCAAGAAGATGTCAGGCGCCGGCAACTGCCTCTTCCACGCGCTCGGAGAGAACACCGGCGAGAGCGGGGCATGCCTCCGAGCCCTAATCATCCAGTACCTCAGAGAGAACGCAGAAGCCGAAGAAGACGAAGAGCAAGTGCAGGCCTGGCTACAGGAAAGCCAATACCTCCAAAGCGATCCAGGTCACTGGGGCGGCGACACGGCCATCATCGCTTTCACCCGCATGAGGCAGCAGCGAGTCCTTTTGCACTGGCGGACGCCAAACGGCGACATCCTCACGAGCGAGCGCACGCACTCGGACGTGGACGAAGCAGCCCAACGCGGGCCGCACGCAGCACCGAACGCCACGGAAGTGATCCATCTCTGGTACAACGGCAGGGACCACTACGCCCTGCTGGTGCCCATAGACCGAGCACCGCCACCAGCACCACCACTGCCACCACCACCACCACCACCACCACCGCCACCCCACCCGATTCCGCGCCCAGCCAAGCGCAGAAGAACCGCCGCCGGCGGAGAGGAGGCCCATCAACAGGCCCAGGCGCGCAAGACGCCGTCGAAGCCGGCGACACGACCGCCCGAGCCAGAGGCACAGGACGAGCCCAACCTCCTGGAAGAGCTCCCCAGCATGCCCGTGGCGCCGGACAGCAGCCACCCCCGGCGGAAACTGGAAGAGGCTCTCCGGCACCTCGCACACACCCAGCTGCGAGCCCAGCCGCTGATACCGCCCGGAGCCAGGCCCGAAGACCTCGACCGTGGGGAACCCTGGCCAGGACAGTTCTGCGCCTTCCAGAGCTGCAACTGGTCATTGCTTACGGTCACCGAGCAAGAGCTTCGAGAGCACGTCCAGCAAGAGCACGCAACAGCACTGCAGAGCGTCGCACAGCACCTACCCAAGCCAATCCCGGCCGATGCACTGGCCAGCGTCTACAACGAAGCCATAGCCCTGCGGTGCAGAGAGGCCGAACCCGTGGCAGGAAGCTCGCGGGACAGAAGCGCGCTGCGGAGCTTCGCCGAAGCCACCAGCAAAGACAGGGTGGAAGCGATCATTTGCTTCTGCTGCGCATGCATCCACACACGCGTGGCCGACGCCGAGGCCGCGGGCCCCATCCGCTGGCGCAGGCTCATCCCGGGTCCCCCCAGCAACGACAGGACCCACGCCGAGACAACCGAACGTCTGCACGACATCCTGAGCATCGACAAGTACCTGGGGCTCTACGACGACCTGGCCGGGGACGTCAAGCTCACCGACGTGGCCGAGCTGAACGAGTGGACCGTGACCATCCCCGGGCCCGGCGACATACTCTGCTGCCCAGAAGACCACCGCTGCCACGCCAATCCCCAGCACCCAAGCCAGCACACGCTCTGCGAGCACTGCGAGGTGCCCCTCTGCCGCGACTGCGCGCAACACTTGGACAACGGCCAGCTGCCGCCCCTGAGCTTGTGCAATGACATGTGGACAGGCTACTCCCCGGCGCGCCTGCACGCAGAGAAGGTCACAGTGATGGAAATGATCTGCGCAAGCCCCTGCGTGACGACCCTGGTGGGCATGTCCATGGAAGCGCGGCACCGCAGCGAAGGGACCACCTTAGACGAAAAAGCCCAGAACGCCCGTCACCGCCTGGGCGCGCGCGGCAACGCCCTCACCTTTCCCCGCCCATGGGAAGACCTCCTGCGCAACCTAGAGGCACACCACGCAGAAGTTGCGGAGCAGGACCAAGCGGGAGCGGCAGCACCCCCCAGCCTGCCGCGCACAGGCAAGGCGCTCGCCGAGGTCGCGAGGGTGCTCCTCAAGACGAACAAAACGGGCAAAACGAGCGAGGCCGAGGTCAAGACGCTGCTCCACCAGGCCACCGTGCGGAGAGACGTAGTCGTGAACCTCATCCACGACATGCAGCGCCTCGGGCATCCCGCGTTCCAGCACCTGCGCATGGCGGATGTGCGGGAGGCAGCATCGCAGCTGCCAGAGGGCGGCGGGCCGCCGGAAGTACTCAAGATCATTTCCGGCCTGAGCGAGGACGACGAGACCGCCCACAAGCTGCAGCCGCAGAAGGCCGCCGCCCCGACGGACGCGCCGGGGCAGGACATGCAGCGGGCCGGCGCCATCTTCGCCGACCAGCGAGCCCGGGCCGTCGTGCCGGAAGGCTGCAGCACGGACCGCGAGGACCAGAACGCCGTGGCCACGGCCGCACTCAACGACCTCCAAACCCAGCTCCGCAGCAACGAAGAGAACGAGAAGGTCCTCGAGACCATGGAGGTGCGCACCGGCAAAATCTTGGTGGACCAGTTCCAGCCGCTCTACTTCGCCACGGCCTTCAGCTTCTGCTTCGCCCACGGCACCGCCTGTCCGGACGTCCAGAACAGCAACAGCACAGCCGGCAACCGGGCGTCAGCGCAAGGACGCCGCCGAGACAAGAACCCGGAGGCCCCCCAAGTGCAGATCTTCGAATGGGCAACAGCCATGCAGCGCCGGGCAGAAACCCAATTCAGGCGAGACTGGAGCTCCGGCTTCACCCTCTGGAACTACCTCTTCAGGACCATGGTGAACACCCAGGGGAACGCCTTCATCTACAGCGTCGCCGACGAGAACCACGAGAGCAGGGCCCTGACCACCAAGGAGATCCTGGAGGGGCAAAAGCAGATCCAGCAAAAGCTCCTCAGAGGCCAGGACCTCGACATCAACAACCAGCTGAAGCCCATCAACGGAGACCTCACCAAACTACGCTTCGTCCCAGGGCTCTCAGAAGCAGCCCTGAAGGCTCGAAGCTCGTGCAAAAAAAATCCTATAAAGCACGGACCCACCCGCAGTGCAAGCCTCCCATCCTTCGCCGCCTGAAACCCCGTAGAGAGCAAGCAAGTGCCGTGACGCGCGCCGTAGAAGGCCACACTCGGAGCAGGCAAGCTACCAAGAGCCAGGTTACAACGAGCGCCCAAAGCAAGCCCGACAGCGGTGCCAGGTCCTGGACAACACGGAGGCGCGCAGTCGAAACATCCCGGGCACGCACGAGGTGCGCAAGACCATGCGCCTCCAAACCCACGCCAATCGGATATGCCACGGCACACCGATCTTCGTGACCTTCTCCCCCTCAGCGCGCGACAGCACGGTGATGCTGCGCCTGGCCCGCGCCCGGCAGTCCGACCCCAGCCTCGGCCCAGAGGACACCACCACCCGAAGAGCCCAGGGGCGCAGCAAGCCGGAGCTGGACGTGGAGTTCTACAGCCTCAACCCAGAAGCCCTCGCCGCCGAGCTGCCGCCCTCCGACGCTCGCCGGGCCATGCTCACCAAGGATCCCGTGGCCTGCGCCGACGGCTTCCGCACCCTCGTGCAGCTCGCGCTGCGCCACCTCTTCGGCGTCCGCTACTCCCCCCAGTGCCCGAATTGCAGCAAGTCCAAAACACCCTGCGCGGACGCCTTCGGCAGCAACGCCATGGCCTGCGGCGGGATCTTCGGCCGCATCGACGCCGCGTTCGGGTCCATCGAAAGCCAGAAGTCCGGGGTGCTGCACGTCCACTTCCATGCACGCCGGCACAGTCATGAGAGACAACCAAAGAAAGGCCATGCGACACCGAAGCCACCGCCGCCCCCTGTGCAGCTCTTCCTCCAGTGCTTCCACCAGTTCAAGTCCCTCGCGGAGCTGCAGGCCCTGGGTCCCGCCCGCAAGCAAGAACTCTTCCAGAAGTACTGCACCTACACGGCCCACGTCAGCCGCACCATCTACCGGGACCCGCAAACCTGGGAGAAGAAGCGCCCGGAAACGGAGGAGCAGTGGCCCGCCTACCGCGACTCCTACCTGGCCCTGAGCCGCCCGCACTACCAGAGCACAGACGCGTCCCCGGACGCCACGACCTGGCGACGGCTCTATCTCGACGAGGACGTGGAGGCCCTGCAGCAGCTGAAGCAACATCACGTGCACCTCCCCAAGACGACGAACGGTCCGCGGCTGCCGCTCGACCACTGCCGCGACAAGAAAGACCCCACGAAGTGCAAGCCAGGCTTCCCTCGCGAGAAGCAGCTGGTGGACAGCACGACACTCGTGTGCGAGGGACTCGCAGAAAAGATGGGCATGCCGGTCAAGGGCAAGCGCAGCGCCCTCGGCCGTCTATGGGGGCCTTGCAACGACCCGAACCTCAACGGCAACCACCCCGCGCTGCTGGCCGCCCTGCGCTGCAACGGCGACGTCCAGCTGCCCTACCGCTTCCCGATCACCGATGACCTACACGACGCCGCCGGCCGCTGCACGCAAGACTGCCCGACGAAGAGCAGCCTGCGGGAGATGACCTACCAGGCCCAGCTGAACCAAGCAGCGCAGGCAGGCTATGCATGCGACTACCAAAACCAGCGGAACCCCATCGCGGTCAACGAGGTCCAAGAGTGGAACAAGAGCCACAAGGACCTGGAGACAGAACTGCGGGACAACTCCTCCGCCGGCTACGTGGGAGCCAGGGCCTCGAAGCGCCTCATGACGGACGCCTTCGCCCGGGGCGTGGTCCGAGGCCCCGTGGAGTGCACCAACCTCATCGACAACGCCGGCCACAGCGACCCCACCGCCGCGGAAGCCATCAAGACCGCAGCACTCGCGGATATGTCCCTCCAGATGGGCCTCGAGCTCATGCAAGCCGCCACCGAGGGCCGGCCGCTGCCGACAGAGCGCGCAAAGATCCAGAGCGACCTCAGTGGGTGGGTCGACAGACACGGCAACAAAAGCAAAAGGAAGCTCGTCGCCCAGCCACAGCTGTGGACCGTCTACGGCAACCGCGGCACGGACCCCAGAGTGCAGCCCCTCTCGGCCTTCGAGTTCGCGCGGTACTACCACATCCAGCCAGTCAGGTATCCATGGTCCCTAAAGCAGCAGGAGGAGGCCGCCGCCGCTGATCGCGAAGCAGCCGCCGACAACGACATCGCCTACCACGCCCTGCTGACGGACAAAGGCAAGGAGAAGCTCGGCAAAAAACTCGGACGTCGACTTCTGCAGGGCGGCACGGACTACCTGATCCGAGAACAAGTCGGGGAAAACTGGATGCCGCTGGGCAACGGCAACCGCGTGCGGAAGCATCGCCACGACTGGGTCATCGTCCCACGCAAGCGGCCGCACGTGCCGGTCCTCTACGGTGCGCTCGGCAGCCGCAGCGAGGAGGAGCACATCATGAAGATCCTGCTGCTCTTCTGTCCATGGACCAGCAACCCACACGAGGCCACCGAAGCCGTCCCGTACGTCGGCCACCTCCGCACGACGGACATGAGCAGCTGGCGCCAGGCGCTGCAATGCGCGTGGAAGCACGCCGGGGGCTTCCCCACCGAGGAGCTGAAGCGCTACGTCCTGAACGACGCCTTCGTGTTCAGCCTGCCCCGAGACCTACAGCCCGACATGGAACTGGCAGCCAACAGCGACAACGAAGATCTCCAGGACCAAATCTAC